AATTTTATGAGTTTACGAGCTTCACTCAGCTCACCCTTTGGTAAGGGAAATGTTTTTACGAGCTTTACTCGCCTAATCCCTTTTAGTAAAGGAGCTTGTTCTTTTTTCTTTTCTTTTTTTTTAGCTTTCTGTAAAGCATTACCACATAGGTAGGTAACTAAAAACATAATATTTTATTGTGTAAAAAATGAGGGTCATCCATCTCATTGGTGATTGTGACTTTATTAGAAAACAAGATAACATATGAGGGAGCTATCCTCCATTTTAAATGATTAACTAACATGCCCCAGTTTTTATTTTGAATGACTTGAAAAGGCTAATTCCAATCGTGAGACAATTTTTATCACACTAGCCTTCTGAGCTGAGCTGGATTCATCATCCCAGGTCTACTTATCTAGAGATGATATTAATTTCCCCAATTGATTGTTGCCCAAGAAGACGCTTATTAGGGCTTATCCCTTCATTGGCAATGAACTTTTGTAAGCGACCCATTTGAATCAGATTCTCAATCTGATTCTTAAGGTCAAAATAATCATTCGTAGTGTGCCCATGATCTCGGTGGAACCTGCAATACTTATCTCGAGATCTTTTCAATGGATTAGACTTCATCCTCTGTGGCTATTTCAAAGACGCATCGTCTTAGATCTGTAAGAAAATATGGTCAATTGACATATTCAGAGGAGTGTAGTCGGCATACTTATCTGAGTTATTCTCATGATATGTCCTGTCGTTTTGGCTGAAGAATTATTTTTTATATTTGGTTTCCTTTTCATCCCTGGCACTAGGGGCCGACCTTTTCTTGTCCTCTCCTTCCTTTTCCTTCCGTGCATTCATGGTGTCTTCAGCATTCATGTGTTTCTGTGCTCTGATCAACAACTCTGCCATACTGGTGGGAGGTTTTTTTTTTTATAAAGAGAATAAGAATCTGGAGGTTTGAAGTCCTCCCATGAAAGCGGTCAAAACCATTTTGTCGTCCACTTTTTCTACCTGCAACATCTCTGTGTTGAATCGGGTGATATATTCCCGGATCGACTCTCTCTTTTGTTGCTTCACAATCAACAGGTAGGTGGGCGGCCTGCTATGCCTTTGACCTATAATGAAGTGGCTCACAAACTGCTTACTTAGTTCTTTGAAGGTGTCAATGGTTCCTGGCTTCAGCTTGTTGAACCAAACTCTTGCCGATCCCTTAAGTGTCGTGGGAAAGGCTCTGCACATGATGTCATCTGGCATGGTGTGTAAATACATAAGAGCTTGAAAGGTCTCCAGGTGATCGAGGGGATCTTTGGTCCTATAGGAGCTTTCGAACGAGGGCATCCTGAACTTGTTAGGCAAGGGGCATTTCATAACGACGGGGATGAACGGCAAGTTGGTCCTCTGCACCAAGTCATCTATGGCGGCAGGACCTTTCGCTTTCATACTCGGCATTACATCTTTCATTTTCGCCTTGAGATCCTTGATCTGTAGGTCGAAATAGGTAACTTTCTTTGGCTTCTCCTCAACACAAAACGTTGTGCCTGTCTGAGGCTGGGGATTTTGCAGAGGTGTAGGAGGAGGTTCTCTATATCAGTTCTCAACCTGGCTTTGTTCAGCCTCAAACTCGTGTGAAGGATTATTTTCTCGGTCCTCCCCGTTTTCTTCCCCATTATTTAGATTGGGAGGAGATGGGTCGGACAATTCTTGTTGAGGTGGTGGTCCCATTTGGATAAGATGTTGCAGGATCACTACATTTTGCTGGATAAACTGGTTCATACCCTAATTCAGAGTTTGGACATGTAGTTCCAATGCTGCAAGCCGTTCCTGGTCGTTTGAGACATTTGGGTGTTCACTTGACCCTTCTCTTTGACTGGATCCCTACAACAATGTTTCTTCTCCAGTTACCATACCAGACCGCAAATGCATATACCTAACCGAGTAATTTATTGATTTAAGCGAATCATCGTTCCCACAGACGACGCCAACTGTTGGGGAAAAAATTCGCGCGGCCCGGTACGATACCGTTTTCCTGCAAAAAAGAGAATAAAAGATCAATGAATCTTGACGATACCGGTGTGGTGCCTGCCAAGAGCTCTCCAATGATCAAGTCAGTCACCGGAGGTCTAAAAGAAAGACAGTGATTTAATAATCGTTTTTCATCATACCTGATTGACTGGTAGGGTCTCATTTTTGTAACCGTTCTCCCTCAATTCGTTTACGAGATCAGAGAAGATTCGTTTTTTACCAGATTTGTTGGGGAGATGATCTACCCCTTTGAACTTGAAATTATGCCGAAGTTATCCTTACTTGGTTGAACCATGTCATCTTATCTTTTGTTTAAATTCTCCTTATCAATAATAATAATAATAATAATAATAATAATAATAATGATGATGATGATATTACTAATAATTTTTAATGAAACACTTAAATTAAATTATACTACTAAATGGTTCCAACACATGCATTCATCATTGTTTTATGAATATGGCTTCTAAACAAAATATATGATCCAAATAAAAGTTATAACCTTTCATGGCCTCATTACAACCCCACATAAAAAATATATATATATATATATATATGTGATGAATAATGTTGTGAGATTACATGAGAAGATACAAAAGAGAAAATTCTATTAGAAATCCAAAAGATACATGGTTGATTTCCTAAGATATTTCCCCCCTCATGAAAATACATACATGTGTCATCAAATACATTATCCAAATACACCATGAGTCAAAATACAAGTCCAAAAGTAAGCTACACAATGGATGTCACAATTATCATAAGTAGCTCAAAAATGTTGGCATAAACAAATTTAATCCATTCATCAAGACAATCAAAAATAATATAGTGTAATGTACATAAATCCACAAGTTACAATAACATATAAATGCTAACTTGAAAATGAAAGTTGAAATCAATTAATGGGATAACTCGGAACACACCTACACTCCCAGTTACATAGGCATGCTACGCGCCTAAATAAAAATAGTCGTTCTCGGATTACTAGCCTGCCGGAAACCAACTAATAGCCAATATAAAGTGGGGAAACTCATGTTTCACCCACGAGCGCCAAACCCTCGCATTCTCAAAGTTACAACCCCCGAGTATCTCCCCAAATTAACAAACAAGTCCCCAAAATAATCTATATACCATGATATGCCCAAATTACACTTTATAAGCGCGCATAAATTATACTAACCACACAATCCATGTCCTGTGGTCCAAATCACTATAATGGCATACTCTTTGATGCAATGTCAACAACTTGGGTATTTTAAAGTCATGTGATTTCATGTTGTTATTATATCAAATTTCAAGTGTATAAAAGTTTAATATCATCATAGAAATATACAACTTCAAAGTTAACCCTCATAAGGTAACAAATACATAATAATTCCATGAACAACCACAACATGTAAGGTACTTTAATTACAAGTAATTACACACTTTTTAAGATTTAGCACTTTAACAAACATCTATAATGTCAACAATGAAACAAATAACATGTTACACATAAAATTTAATATAAAAATTCAATGAAACATTATGAATCATTATATAAGCTCTCTAATCCAACCCTCACACACAAGTGTATGCATAACTCACACAATGGTAATAAAATCCCAAGAATGCCTAGGTTATAAGCACAATACACCCTAGCTCAAGCTAGGAGCAAACCCTAGCTACTCTAAAAGATAAATGTGCTCCAAATTCGAAATTAGAAGAGGGGTTTTGTAGCCACCGATGTCCCTGTTCTTTTTCTCTTTTAGTATAAGGTGAGAATCATCAAGGAAGAAGGCCAAGATGGTGGAAGCTTGAAGTAACAAGAATATGGAGATGGAGGTGAGAGAAGGAAAATATCGGCAAAAGAGGAGAGTAGAAATGGGTTTCTCTCTCCTCACATGTGAAATATCTACACTACACACACACACCTCTCATTCTAGTCAACCATAAGCCCCACCAAATGTTCACTTATCAAAAATGTGCCACAAAACTAGAAATATTAACACATGTGTATGTATATATCACATAAAATAAATGTGTCATGAATGAAAATAATTGCTTACAAGTATAAAATAAATGCCACAATGTCATGAATAATGGTAATGCAATTAAAAAATAAATTAAAAAGAAAAAAAATACTCGGTCCTCACAAGTACCATCCGACTGGTGGTTGCTGTGGTGTGATTGGTGTTCACCATCTTATTGGTTGCCACCATCTTGATGTGACTGGTGACCACTATTTGATTGGTTACTGCCATCATGATGTGACTAGTGACCACCATATGACTGGTGATCTCCGCCATCATGATGTGACTGGTGACCATCATCTGACTGGTGATCTCCGCCATGGTGTGTTTGAGGTTGGCCTCCTACTTGAGTTCTAAATCGCAACTCGAGAGCCATTGTAAAAGTTCCCGCAGACGTGGCCAACTGTTGATTCAAGATTTTGCAGCGGCCCGAAACGACGTCGTACCTGAAAGAGAAACAGAAAGGTGATTAGGAAGGCACCGGTGTAATACCGGTTTAAGAGCCTCCGACGATCAAGTCAGCGCTAGATCAGGAGGATGGAAAGAAGGTGAAAGGATTTTCTTAAGGATTTGGGTTATACATTTTCTGTTAACCCGAACCACTCGTTAATAAGTGTATCAAGTTGCATTAAAATAGGAGAGTTGTACCATTTACTTCTCTAACACGGATAGTGAACCTCTCCTCATCTTTATCCAAAACATTGGAACTTAACCATTTTTGTAAATCCTATGACTAGTCAAACTTCCTTAGTGAAGACTCCTTATCATATATATATATTACATTATTACAGTAGATTTTGTGTAAAAAAAATTAGTAATGTTAATTTATAAAACTTAAAATAAGTAGAAAAGTAATTTTATTATATTAAGAAAGAAAAAAATATAGGCTTGTTGTAATTTTTTATTTTTGACACAGACTTGTAGTATTAGAAAAGTGAGAAAGTAGTTTGCAAATTCAAATCATCCGACACACTTCTTTGAATGGAAAATTTTTCTTACTAACAGGGTTCAATATTTTCCCCATTTCCGTAAGCCAACGTGTGTCAGTTCGACAACGAACCATATCACATTCACGTGTACGGCTTAGATCATGTTTCACGAAGTTCTCGTTATATTTTTTCCCCACCCAAATAGAACCGTGTCATGGCTGGTACGTTATCGCCGGAAAACTATCCCATCTCCGATCAGACATCGAGCGATCATTAAAGTTTTACTACATAGCAGGTATATATATTATACACACCTATCAATCTTAATCTTTAATTCGTTTTATTACCATTCGGATCTGATCGTTGCTTTTCACTAATTTTAGTGTTTATTGACTAAACTAAGTAGTATTTTTAACCTTGCATTTGGTTGCTGAGAAAATCAAGAACACAAAAGTGGAAAATCTTTACGACGAATGTTGCTTTAGTCTCTTTTATGTTATGATGAATTTGTCTCTTTCTAGTGAAGGGTGTTTTAGTTGCCCGGAATTGGAATTGAATATCTCAATTTCAATGTGTGGTTCAATTCTATAAAATATGTATGGAATTGGAACTTATTTTGAATTCCCACATGTCTCAATTCGATAATTATAATTTCAAACTCGGATTTGAGAGTTTCGATTCCAAATGATGATGGAATTCATCTAGAAAGACGGCAAATAATTAACAGGGCTTTGGAAAGTGTCTTGTTGAAGTCAACAGGTCATTCTGTTTTTGGGTACCTAGTAGTAACTAAGCTTAGAAATTACTAAATGTGTTTACTGAGAAAAGTGGTAAGTTGTGATTAATGCTTTTTGGGAATTCTAAATCTCTAGGAAATATTTTTAATTCATTATTCCAACGATGATGGAAGTGATTCTAATCTATCTCACCACTATAGTAGTGGAATTTTGTTTATTTTTATTTTCTACATCTAGGGTTTTGATATCGAAGCTTCATTCAAGGCATTGTTATACTCTGACATTGATTGAATCTTCAATCAGCTTACATTTGTGACTCCATAGCAGATCCACTCTATATCAGTTTTACTTTTTCAGTCTCTCTCTATGTGATATATATGTACATGAATGTATACATATAGATAGACCCAGATGTTTATATAAAACGTACATGTATGTGTTTATTCATTGTGCTACCCATGAATGTATTATTTTTCATTACTCAACCAGTTCAAGCTGTATTCAATCTCCTATTCTTTTGAGTCTTCCCTTTTTTGTCTATTTAAATTTTAGAATGATCTTGTGTTGTGGACTATAGTAATTGGACTACAATTTGCAAAACATGAGTGAATTTGGAATTGGACGATTTTACAATTCAAAAGCATCTGAGATTTGGTTCTGGAAGCTCTCTTATGAATTTGCAATTAATCGGCATGCAAACCCTTCCCAAAACACAAAACCAATTGTAAGTAAAAAGGAAATATAATTATTTGCTAAACTGGCTGAGATTAAAAAACACGAGACGAAGATTTAGAGACCTTAGTAAATACCAAGTTGCATACATAGTAAATACCAAGTTGCATATATAGTTTATGTTAGAAATTTCACATATTTTGTGTTTATTTCTTTTTCTCCTTTGATTTTTATTTTTCTTTTACTTTCTTTTTTATATTTTCTACATATGGTTCAATATATCCCAATACCTAGAAACTTCCAATTTGCTACCATTAATTCCTCTTCAAAATTTTGTTTAGTGTGAAGTTCATGCTTGTAGCAAAAATTAGCTAGGAGACTAATATTCGGGAAGGGACATGCTCTGACGGATCTAGAGACATAATTACGAGGAAGAAACTAATAATTCGAAGAATCAGCTTGGAAATGCATTTATTTCTTCTTTAGAACTTTTTGCTCTTTCTATTTACTTATGGTGAACCATGGTTCACTAATACCATTATACCAGATACTTTTAGGTGGGGCCTGAAGATCAACATTGGTACTTTTCTTATTTGCGTGTTTAGATGATCGGTTTGTCATTGGATGAGTGTGGGTATGTGAAGGCTTGTCTGAATTGATTTATTTCAGAATTTGTTTGTAGAGTTTGATGTCCTATAAATTCCCTTCTATCATTGATTGGATGGTGTCGCGGATATGGAAGCCCATCCCAGATTACTTGATTGCAACCTTTTGACGAAAAATATATGCTGCAAGCAGGAATTCTTGACTAATTGTTCACATGCTTTGTTTAGCTACTTTCCATCTTAATACGTCTTCCACAAAGTTGTTAAAATTCAGCTTCTAGGCACCACACCAAGGAAACTTGTTCCGACCAACACTTCTACCCGATATCACTTCCAAGGCATATAGAACTTACCGAGGCTGGAACAGAGGACCCTTTTTTGGTCTTGTTGGAGTTTGGTATTTATAATCCTATATAAATTTAAGTGAGGCTCTATCAGTTCTCACTTGAATCAGCAACAGAAATAAAAAGGACTTAAATAAATAAATAATAAAGATGGCAAGTTGGTATAGATTTTGTGTATTCGCTATAACCACAAGTTTTGTTTGATGTATGCATATTTGTATACATTTTGATAAATGAAGTTGATATAGTTTTGTTCTATTTGATGTGTGCATATTTGCGTATTTTTTTCAGAGTTTACGCATTTCCTACTTTGATTTTCTTTCATCTTTTCTTTGGTGCTTTGCAGTATAGTTGTGGAATTAGCTACCTCTATCAGCTCACCCTTTAATTAGCTCTCATCATCTCTTTTTTCTGGTATAACCTCAGTCACCCTCTATTTATTTATTTTTTTTATTTTATTTTTTTAATTGCGGTGTCTATAATATGTTACAAGAGTGTGTGAATCACCAATTCTAAGATTTCTTCTCTTATTGTCATGACGGTTTATTACAAAGGGTGGCTATCAAAGTTACAATCTTAATTTATCTATAGTTTAATGACTTGACCGTGAAAATCTTCCTTTTCTGTTCACAGAAAAGGGATTAATATTTAGGCATATGTCGCTCCAATATGGATGAGAATGAACGAACAACCAAAAAAAGGAAGATCATTGTTGGATTTTATGTTTTTATGGTGGCAATTGTAGCAGTGTGGTGGCATGAGAGAGGTATGGCCAGAGAGCACCCCCAAGATCTGAGAAGCCACGAAGAGTCTGATAACTCGGAAGAGACTTCCAAGGCCATTAGTTCTTATGATGGGCTGAACGATGATGTCAATAGCGTTAACGAAGTCCAACATGGAAGATCCAATGCCTCATCCTCAGCTGGTTCGCATTGTCGGAAAAGAAAACGGAGCTCAGACGTATATAATACGGTTTTGGGGTGTATGGCTGATTTACTAGAGAAATTTCTACACTATGAACCGCCAAAGGCGACAGCTGAGATGGTGCTAAAAGAAGTCTCTAAGGTGTCGAACTTGGACCAAACACAAGTCATGAGGCCGGTTGATTTGATGATACATGATGAAATAAAGTTTGAAATATACTCTGAACTTCCAGATGATCTGAAAAAACCTTGGATCATGATGCATTTGAACCAATGAAAATTGCTTCTTCCAAGGAGAGCTTGCTGCCAAGACATAGCCTGTTGAAAGAACCATTTGAATTTTCTCCCTTCCTCTTTGTATCTTGTGTTCTCTGTTGTTCAGCTTGACGATTCCTTGTTATTGTAATGCACTCTCAGATTGTGAATGTCGATGCTCTATGATCAGGTGGAGTGATCAATGCTATATATATATTCATACGTATGGTGTATATATTTGTATATATTTTGCAAGTGAGAATTACTCAATTCAAAATTCACATTTGGCCATGGAGCAGGTATTCGGTGTGCACCGAGCACGGACTGCTACGATATGCCCCGTGCACTGTGCAAGTGTACAACACCCATCATATATATTCAGTCTCTTGGGCATTGAGTGAATAAACCAACCTCTTGGGCATTGAGTGAATAATCCAACCAACAAAGTGTGCAATTATGTGGATTTAAACATACCAAGTCTAGGTCAAAGTTTCAAGACCAGGAAAAAAAAAAAAAAAAAAAAAAAGAAGTTTTGTGAGTAATTTGTTAATACAGATTAAAGTGCAAGAAAGGCTGTTAGTGAAGGCACAACGGAAGCATTTAAAAATTTTCAGGATCTAATTCACGTGATTTTTCAACAAATCAATAAATACTGTAAAGGAATTTCATACCTTTGAACGATTGAATAATCGTCGAATTCAATAACACTATTCTTTTGCTTTGAACTCTGATGAACACTTTCTCTTTTGGCCTTGAATACCAATGAGTCTTCACCACTATGACCCCAATATAGGATTGTGAAATCCTAACCTTCTCTCCCTATATATTGGATAGTGTACGATACAATATTTTGTATCGATATCTCACTCAATATATGATCTGAGAAAATCGGTTAAAAAGTTTGGGCCTAGAGATGAGGATCCAAAGGGCTTCCTTATCCTATCTCCAATTGGATAAAGATAGAGTTATCTCATAACTCTATCCTATCCAATTAATTACAATAAGCACCACAAATAGTATTGTAATTGCCCTCTAGGATTTAGAAATTACGATAAGGCCCTGTGTACTAAATAATTACATATAAGCCCCTCCATTAATGTCCCACCTAAGGCTTACTAAAATATCCTGGCTAGGTTCCAGTGATCAAACTTATTAAATTCCATCGAGGGGATATTCTAACTCTTATAAAGAGTGTGGATTCCATGTTGAGCATTTGTGTTCCCAGAACTCCAACATTAGCCACCCAAGATACCGTGATATTGACCTTAAAAAGACCTCACGCATTGGTAAGTCAAAGTGACTAGTACTAAAACTTGAGTTCACTAAATCTCTCAGGATTTAGAGCCTATGAATTTAGTAGATAAGAAACACACCAGAATAATGACAGTACATTGTATGGTGTGATCTTATAGTGATCTAGTTCAATGTACTCCAAGCACACTAACACACTACCTTAGAGTCAACTACCCCAATAGTCGAGACAAGCCATCCTATCTTATAGAGGTCAATAGTGTTACAATCTTACAGATAAAAGTGCTCAACTTTTAGCACTGACTGCGAACAATGCCAAGGTGAAAGAAACCGATGAGCCCAAATCTCCTGCGTATAAATCTCATTTACACACTTAAGTCACCTATAATGCAACATGAGGAGTATAATGCATCTCATACAATTATATGTAAAGCCCAATGCATAAATATCATATTTATTAATAAAATATCGAATAAATAATAAATAATTGGCTTGTAGGGCATATGATCCCAACAGTGAGTATATGCATGCGTCTATTTTTGCATTGTTTGAAAACCTAATTAGAAACTTTCATATACTTTGAGCAAGTGGTGTGGGGCTAAAAGGTTATTTATCTACTTTTTAAAAAAATAGAGTGCCACGTAAGTTAAAAAGTGATGATATGGTACTCTATTTTTTGTTATCTATGTGTTCCATGGTGTGAAACCCAATTATCTCATTATCTATTTATTATTTTATTAATTTAATTTAAAAATTAAATAAAAAATTTTAATTTTAATTTAATAATTTTTTATTTTCTTCCCAACGGTTATATTTCAATTTCTATATAAATCACCCATTCTATCTTCTTTCAATTGAGAAGTCCACTTTTTTGCATTCTCAAGTCCATTCTTTGTTCTTTCAATTTATATCTTCTTTCAATTCTATCTTCTTTCAATTATAAGAAGGTTGGAATTGAGATGGTTGGAACTGTGATGGTTGGGATTGAGAAGGTTGGAATTGGTAATGAGGTTGGAATTGGGGATGTGGTACGATTTGGAATTGAGAAGGTTGGAATAGGAAATAAGAGTATTGGGGTTAAGATGGATTTTTGGATTGAAAAAAAATTGAAGAATCTAAATTATAATTGGATTGCGGTAGTGATTCGGAGTTACAAGATTGGTTGAGATGGGGGCGATAGAATGCAGGTTAAGAATCCATAGAGATGAATGTTAAAAAAAATATTGAGAGAGAGAATTATTGAAGATGAAAATTAGTATTTATAGAGTAAATAATATAGCCGTTAAAATTGCAATTGAAAAAACCGTTTATGTCTCTTTTTTACTTTGTATCCACGGATTCATTGTGATAATCTATACAATACAGGAGCCAATTAAACAAAGAAAAAAAATTAATACATATTTCCCAAACCCCACTCTGCCAGTAGAGAACCCATTGGATTAGTGTTTTTGGGGCCCACAAAAAAGACACTCCATTTGTTATGCATGCCACCCCCTTTTCTCTCCCTACTAATGTGTACACTAACACACTATCTGTCTACAAGTACATGCGCCGGGATGCTCTTAGCTAGAATTATTTAGAATTATAATTAGAAACTTCTTTGTTTCAGGTTTTAAAAAAAAAAAAAAAAAAAAAAAAAAAAAAAAAAACTAATGGGGCTTAAGGTAAATTGTTATTTAGAGAGAATTGAATTAGGAAAAAGGTAAATTATTTATTATAAATAAAAGAGTTAGAAAGAGAATGAGTTAGAAAGAGGTAAATTATTATTTGGGCCAGAGTTAGAGAAAAATAGAATTAGGAAAAACTTAAATTTATATTATTAAAAATGCATTATAAATAAATAAATGCTATGGAACTCTTTAAATTTTAAAACTAATATATATAGATTTAATTTAATTTTTAACTTCCGACAAAAAAAGAGCTCTAACTTCTACGCAACAGAGATCAAGTAAGTAATTGAGAAGGAAATAAATATAGAAACAAGGTAAAGAAGGAAATTGATAGAGTATGGAAACAACTTAAGGGGTGATCAAATATATAATTATATAGTAACTATAAATTATTGCCTTAAGAAAGGAGACTCTCTTCTATCACTGTTTTTTTTTTTTCCCTCAAAAATAAAGAAATAAAGAAATAATCAAAAATTTAATAACCTGGCTTTAATCCACCACTCTGCAGACAAAAATAAATAAATAAAAAAATTTAAAAATATATATATACCTTTTACTGTTTTTTTTTTTTTTTTTTTTTTTCCTCTCAAAAATAAAGAAATAATCAAAAATTTAAAAACCAGGCTTTAACAATTTACCTAAAATTGATAGAGCCATGCCCAATAGCCAACGCTTCCATCACTCTGCAGACAAAACGCTTCCACCACTCTGCAGACAAAAAAATAAAATAAAATAAAATAAAGTTTTAAAAAATATATATATATACACATTCTTACTATTCTGTCCCATTAATTTCACTGTTTGATTTAATTCTAATTTTTATCAAATCGTTAAATTTAATTTAATTTTAAAATATATTAAAATCAGTCCAATCCAAACCGTATGCATTCTTAACTAAAACCCAACTTATATGAGCACTCGGAATTGAAACACAACTTGGCTAAAAATTAAAAAATTTAAAACACAACTTATGTAAAAAAAATTTGGTAAGTTTGACTTATAAAATTATATATTTCTGTATTTATATATAGTTAAAAATAAAGAAAGAAGCCTCCTGTTTTTTAGCTTTTAAATGGCAAAGTGAAAACCGGAAAATAGCGGGAATTTGCTTTCCATTACCCAAGTTTTCCTTTCCTTCTCGTATTTGCCTTCCTAAAGTCTCTCTCTATATATACATATATATACATCTATTATTCAGTTGCCTTCATTGTTACTCTCTCTCTCTTCCTTTTGGTGACCTGCGTTTTTCTTTTGAATCTTTGTCATATTGATCGTTTAAGGTAAATCTCGAATTCGTTTTTTTTTTTTTTTTTTTTTTTTTTTAGCGTTTTTGTTGTTTATTTGAAGTTACTCTTTGTCTGTTTTGAATTTCATATCACATTACCCATATATATATATATATGCAAACAAATAATCACGAACATACAAATAATAATATGTTTGTAGGTATATATTTTTTTGGTTTAATTACACGCGATTTGGTTTATGAAAAGAATGAAGTAGAAATCAAGAAAATTAATGTGATTGAAGTCCTAATTGTTTGCTTTCGTAATTAGTCTGGAACTTTGATTAGTGATGCTTTTAAATTGCTAATTTTAGAAACTAGATTTTATTTTATTTTTAATCAGAAATTCTTTTTATATACAAGAAAAGATAGATCTTTCAACCTATTTTTACACCTAATTAATTGTGTCGAGAAAAGATAGATCTTTCGACCTATTTTTACACCTAATTAGTTGTGTCCAGACCATTAATTACATTATTATGTTCAGGTTAAGCTCAACGGTCATGTGATCCAACACTTTAGGTCTTTTAGAGTGAGGTCGTCTTATTACACATTATTTGAAATTTGGCATTCCACTTCTATATTAAGTGTTGCGAATGTGATTTCTGAATATTTAGTTGATATTTTGGCTTTGAAACCCAAAATATAGTTCAGTGTGGTTAAAAGTGCTCATTTTTTCTTGTTGGTTTTCACTGTCTGCTAAACATAATTCTCATTCGAAGGTTTGGTACTTCATTTGATAATGTCACTCAATAATTGACAGAAATTTTCATCATTGTTTCTAGTTCGGAAAAGAGGGCTTTATTTATAATATAGGGCTTATTGCATTTGCAGCTTGCAACTATGACTCCAATTATTGAGACTCCAAATCATCAAGCTCCCAAATCGCATCAATCTTCACTTAAAAGGATCCTTTCATCCTTGACCAGCAGTGCAGTTGCTGCACATCCTTGGCACGATCTTGAGATAGGTATTCAATTTAGTTATAAGCCGCTAATAGTTAATTAATTCTATAGTCTGCCTTCCTATTGACTCACATAATACCCTTCTGGTTTATAACTTAATTAATTGAATGCAGGACCTGGAGCTCCAGCAGTTTTCAACTGTGTAAGGATACTGAACTTTATATATATATATATATAGAATGTTGATACTTAAATTTAGTTTGCATGAAGATTTATTTGTGGATACATAAAGAAATTTTAGGTTGCGAGGGAAATTTGATGCAATGAGCCTTGCGCTTAGGCTACAGAAGGTCTTTGGCGCGCCTTGAGCGAGCTTTAACAACTATCAACACTTCATTAGTATTTATTTGATAATGTTCATGAATAAATTATGAAAAATCTAGCATTCCTCACTTGGTCAAGACTAGTATAATTGCTGTTAATTTCTACAGGTGATTGAAACTGGTAAGGATAGTACGGTGAAGTATAAACTTGACAAAAAGACTGGACTGATGAAGGTATAATCACGCATGCCATTCAGTGTCGTTTTTCTTGATAGTGTGTGTTGTTGATTCATAGCAGATTGCTAAAACGTATTCTCGTGTACAGGTTGACCGTGTACTTTACTCATCTGTTGTGTACCCTCACAACCATGGCTTCATCCCCCGTACTCTCTGCGAGGACAATGACCCCATGGGCGTCTTGGTTGTCATGCAGGTATGCAATTTGATGTGCATTATGCATGACCCCTTAAATCTGGTTACTTGTTTCACATATGTAGCTTGGAAGCTGCAATTGTTTTAACATTTGGGAATCTGCATGTATTTATAGCCTTGTGATATTTACTGATCACTCGAGAATCTTAGATGGAATTAATAGTAAAAAATGAAAGTGGAGTGAAGAAAAGAAAATTAATTTTCTAGCAGGCGTTTGGTTAGCATGAAAAATTTCTAAGAATTTGTGAGAAACTACCATTTCATAGTTTGGATAGCATGAAAGTTACGAGAAAATTTGTGAGGAAGCACCAGTTTATTATGAAGGGAATTTCAGCTGCCGCTACTTCTAAGACTCTTTGCAAACTAATACAGGAACCAGTTCTTCCAGGATGCATTCTCCGGGCTAAAGTAATTGGCCTCATGTCCATGACTGATCAGGTATATATATGCACTGACTGAAAAGATGATGATTTTTTTGCTACGTTTCAACCAGTTTGTAACATTGATAAGAACACAGGGAAAAAAAGATGACAAGATAATTGCAGTAAGTGTTGATGATCCTGAGTACCGACACATCACTGAAAGCAAGGAGCTCCCTCCACATCGTTTGGCTGAGATCCACCACTTCTTTGAAAAATGTATCCTTCTAAAAGTTTTTTACTCCGAGCAAGCTTGACATATAGACATATTTTAGTTTGTGCTTCTAGTAAATTTTTATTTTTATTTTATTTATTTATTTTTTGGTTAACAAATAATCAGATAAGAAATATGAGAACAATGAAGTTCTAGTTGATGATTTTCATCCAGCCTCAAAAGCCTATGAAGCAATTGAGAAATCAATGTAAGCAACGAATGTTCCCTCCATTTCAATGTTTCTGCTCCATTTTAACTTGATTTTCAGAGACTAAGAAACAAACTGACAAATATAATAAAAGTCATTCTGATTTCTTTTATACTTCATGGGATTTCTTGATCTAAATGTGTAATTTACTTCTTCTGTGAAGGGATCGCTATGGGGACTACATAACGGAGAGCTTGGAATGAAGAAAAAAGTGAAGGACTCTTCATTCGGCTGCATACGCACAAATTGATTTGACCAATGTGCCCTTCTATTACATTTTTGGATGGATTAATTATAATAATTTGTGTTGATGACAAAAAATATATCATCTTTTTTACAGTTTTGGAGTTTCTCCTTGATAGAAAAATCCATCTTATGAAGATGTATTGTTTGTCTATCTTTGCAAGAAATGGTAGTTCTTCCCCGGTATGTTGTAGCATTTAGATATAATTCAAATGATATTAAGGAATATTTATTAACTAAAAATAAAATGAGGATTATTCTAAAACATTTATCTATTACAGAACCTAGTTCGCGTACGATACGCGAATTAAATGTGTACATACCAATTTTGAAAAATACTCAGAGTTTAAAGATACGATAAGATATTTTTTTTCATCATCCCGTACATAACGCGTTTATTCATATTCATTTTGGTTGCTCCGTTTAATTCGTGTTTATATTTTAGGGTAACCTAATTATTTTTTTTATTTATTTTGTTCACGTTTCTAATGGTATATTTTTCTCAAACACTCTGACGACTTAGTGTTTTACTATCACTCTATTTTTTTTTTTTTTTTTAATCTCTTATTATTGTCAATCGAATGTTTGATCTTTAATCAAAATAATGAAACACACACATACACACACACACACATATATATATATATATATACCTTGTGAACACTATAATTTTGAAGAATATATCATAGATTTTTATTGATATTTGTAGACATTTATAAATTTTTTGTTTTGTTTTGAGATCTTTTAAATTTTGCTAGTATCATTATTATTATTATTATTATTATTATTATTATTATTTTGGAAGTTTGTAAATCACCACATTTATTATATGTTTTAGTAGAATATAAAGATGTAACGACCCTTAAACTGATACCATTTATAAAAAACTTTCGGCATGACCTTCCATAAAAGGGGTCCTACGACAACCTGCTTAAATGTATAAAAATGCAAATAATACATTCCAGCATCCCTTTCATCCATTCATCAGGCCTCAACATAGTTCATCTAACGGTGGAGCATCCACATACCATTCAATCCAAATATCGTGATTACAGTCCCAACAATGCATGGTTAAGATCTAAAGTCTATGTCTTACAACGTTTAGACCACTTATAAAAAAATTATAGCCCATAAATATAATTACAATAACAAGAGTTCATAAATCTCTACACCAAATATAACAAATTAAGATTTTACAAAAAATATGGGACTTAAATACAAAAATAGCAAAACAATCTTCTAATCCAATTTAGGCTTGTGGTGTAACGTCATCCACCACTTTTTCCCCGTTTCCTGAAAAAATGTTAAATAAAAAGGGGTGAGCAAAATTGCTCATTAGGTGGTGTCTAAGACACACCTCTTGTGTCCCCATGAATCCAAATAAGGAATAGGACAATAGGAATTGGGGTTATACTATGTCGGGAAAGTACAACATTAAATCCAATCTCAGCATACACAATCTGATGCTATGAAATGCAATGCATGCCAATATCGCTCCCCATTTTCAACATTCAAATCCATCACTTCCAAACTGTTAGTATAACTCACCCTTTGGTGACCCCGCAGCGACACGAAATAATGATTGGCTAGTGTCCCTGACCTTTGGTACCCCGCGGCGTCGTTTTGGGCCTAGCTAGCTCAACCATGCTAGGGCAATCTCCCTAGTTCCCTCTAGGCTATATTAACACACCAGCCCTTTGGTGACCCCGCAGTGACCGGGTTTTCTCAAGACCATTTTAATCAAAATTTCTTCTCAAAATTCCCCTTTTTCATTTCAAATCACACTAATCCCATTTCATACCCAATGCTAGGGCATAGATGCATCATGCCATGTCCAAGTTCATCAATCCATAACTAACTCAAACTTAATTAATATAGCATGATTCACAAGAATTTTTAAGTAAAACTACAACATGCTTTCATACAATCGAGATCTAGTATGATAGGCATATAAAAATCAACATTTAGGCATACTCTTCACATCTGTCAATTAATACACATAACTACACATCAACATATATACAACAACCAAGTAATTTGCTAGATTTTACACAAATTAGTCATACTAGACAACAATTCATAAAGGATTATGAACTTTATACATTACAACACAATTATTCTAGGATAATTATCATCATTTGGACAAATTAACAACAATTACATGAAATTAACTTACAAAGGAACAAGAAAATATGGGTTAGAAACCCTTACCTCAATCTAAGCCAAAAGCCCCAATTTTTACCTCAAACCCTCAAAATGGGTCTCAATTTTCAGACTTCCTAGAGTGGCCAAAAGTTGAAATTGCTGGTATGTATTTGAAAATCTCGTTGTGGGCTTCAAATTGCCGCAAACGGCATCCAAAATTTCCCAGAATAGAGAGAGAAATCAAGCCTTGAATTTGTAAGATAAAAAAAATAAATAAATAAATAAAAAGAGAATGCCAAGAGGAAGAGAGAATGTAGCAGTGAGAGGAAAGAAAAAGTGTCTGTAATGAATTCTAAGTCATTTGTATTGACTTATAATTCATGTGGGCCACATAGGTAAAATGAAGAATTTCTTTAATTAACATAATATATATATAACACATACATCACATTCTCCCCAACTTTAAAAGATTTCATCCCCGAAATCAAGACATACCTGAGGAAGAAAACAATGCTGGGTACTTGGAGCAAACCTCCTGTTCAAGCTCCCAAGTAGCCTCATCAACTCCGTGGTGTCTCCAAAAAACTTTCACCATTGTTATTGTCTTGTTCCTCAACACGTTCTACTGTGTGTCAAGGATCTGAACTGGTCCCTCCTCGTAGGAAACATCCTCATCAATGTCCACATCAACCCAACTCAAAATGTGAGATGGATCCGGCTCGTACTTTTGTAACATCGATACATGGAAAACATTGTGGACCCTGTCCAATTGTGGTGGCAAAGCAAGTCTGTAAGCAACCTCTCCTACTCGGTCCAAAATCTCAAACGGTCCAATGAATTGTGGCGACAACTTGCCGCTTTTCCCAAATCTCATCAATTCTTTCCGTGGAGAAACCCGTAGAAAAACATGATCTCCCACCTCAAAGGATAACAGCCGTATCCGCTTATCCGCATAACTCTTCTGTCGGCTCTGAACTGTAAGTAACCTCTGTCTGATCAGCTTAATCTTCTCAGTAGTCTCGAGTACTATGTCGGGTCCTAAGGCGGCGGTCTCACCCACCTCAGTCCAACAAACAGGAGACCTATAAGGTCTACCATACAACGCCTCAAATGGAGCCATCTGGATACTCGCCTGATAATTGTTGTTGTAGGCAAACTCAATAAGCGGTAGATGATCTTCCCAACTACCACCCAAGTCAAGCACACATGCCCGAAGCATATCCTCCAAGATCTGGATAGTACGCTCCGACTGGCCATCTGTCTGTGGATGGAATGTCATACTAAGATACAACGCTGAACCAAACACTACTTGAAGTCCTTCCTAGAACTTCGAAGTAAACTTGGCATCCTTATCTGAGACAATGGTTACTGGAACTCCATGCAACCTTACAATCTCCTTCACATAAAGTACACCAAGCTTCTCTGCATCATCTGTTACCTTAATAGGCAAAAAGTGAGCCGTCTTGGTTAACCTGTCAATGATGACCCATACGACTTCATTGCCCCTCCGTGACCTTAGAAGACCTGTCACAAAATCCAAAGCAATATGTTCCCATTTCCACTGCGCTACAGGTAATGGTTGCAACAAACCGACTGGACTCTGATGCTTGGCCTTCACCTGCTGATAGGTAAGGCACTTAACCACAAACTGAGCAACATCTTTCTTTATCCCGTTCTACCAATACTAACGTCTCAAATTGTGATACATCTTGGTACCACCTGGATGAACTGCAAAGCAGGAAGTGTGAAACTACCGTAAGACGTCCTCACGACAAACCGTGGGAACCACCAACAAACCCCTAAACCGTAGACCCCCATCTGTATGCAAGGCCCAATTTTTCACTGTCTCACCACTGGAGATCAAAACGTGAATGGCATCTAAATCCGGGTCCTGTCTTTGTGACTTAATCACTCGTACAACAAGAGTAGGCTGAGCCACAAGATTAACCAAGAATGCTGGCTCACTATCAACATCGTCATCAAAACAATACAATCCCATCTCTGCCAAATCCTTAGGCATCTTCCACTTCCGAATAGCCAAATAGGGCAGAGTCCCACGAGATTTCCGGCTTAAGGCATCTGCTACCACATTTGCCTTGCCCGGATGATACTGCAAGTCAAAATTGTAGTCCTCCAAGAACTCAACCCATTTTCTTAATATGTTGTTCAAGTCGTTTTGGGAGAAAAGGTACTTGAGACTTTTATAATCCGAGTACACCTCGAATCTCTCACCATACAAGTAATGTCTCCAACACTTCAAGGCAAATACAACTGCCGCTAACTTTAAATCATGAGTAGGGTAGTTAAGCTCGTGAGTCTTCAACTGTCGAGACTCATAAGCCACTACTTTACTATCCTGCATCAACACACATCCCAAACCATCACGTGAAGCGTCACAATAAATCACATAACCCAAGCCACGCTCAGGTATCACCAACACTGGAGCAGTAGTCAATCTTGTCTTCAACTCCTAAAAAGATGTCTCACAGGCTTCATTCCAGACAAACTTGATCCCTTTCCGGGTCAAACAGGTCATAGGGGCTACCAAACGGGAGAAATCTTTCATAAATCTCTGATAGTAACCTGCCAGGCCAAGGAAACTCCGAATCTCAAAAACATTGTTGGCTTGCTCCCAATTCAAAACTGCTTCAACCTTTGATGGATCTACTGACACTCCACTTTCTGAAACAACATGCCCTAAAAATTTTACCTCCTGTAGCCAAAACTCACATTTCTCATATTTGGCATACAATTGATGCTCCTGAAAAATTCATAAAACAATACTCAAATGGACCTCGTGCTCCTCCCGAGAACG